GATTCTGCTACATCTCAGTGTTAGTCAGTGCATGTTTCTCAAGTACCATTGATCATATGGCTCCATCGACCCCTTCTCTTCAGGGGGAGAAAGGGAGTGAAGAGAAGTTGTCTCTGCTGTTGCTGGTGCCAATGCCTTGTATCGCTATTGATGATGCCTGTTATGTCTCTGCCTTGTTGCTCCTGTCTGTTATGGTGCCAGTTTTGTTGCTCATGCCTTTGCTGGTGTGTTTGCCTTGCCTTATCCTATTTTTTAGGGTTTGGTTTCTGCCTTATCTTCTGCCGTGCTCACAGGGCTTCTGTGTTCTGCCTTATCTATTGTCGTGCTCACAGGGCTTTTGTGTTCTGCCTTATCTGCTGCCGTGCTCACAGTGTTTTTGTGTTCTGCTATCTGCCTTATCTTCTGCCGTGCTCACAGGTCTTCTGTGTTCTGCCTTACCTACTGCCATGCTCACAGAGTTTCTGTGTTCTGCCTTATCTATTGCCGTGCTCACAGGGCTTCTGTGTTCTTTGCTCTTGTGTTTCCGCTGCGAACTTTGCTTTAGTTTGTCACTTGTTTCACTCGTAGTTGACAAAAAGACCTTCTCTACAATTGGTGCTTCTCAAGTATGGTGTTCTATGACTCGCTTGTCAAGTTGGGCTTGCGAAATATCTTTGCCCAACTTGAGGGGGAGTGTTGGCGAGTCCTTACTTAATTAGGATTTTGGTTCCTTATTTCATTAGAATTTTGATTACTTACCAATTATTATTTAGTCCTATTGTAATAGAGATTTACTTCCTATTGTAATTTAGATATATTTCCTATTTTATTTAGGGTTAACACATCTTTGTACTTGTATAAATACCTCCATATTGGAGAAGAATAATAATATGAGCAAATATGAGCGTATCTGAGCATAACTAAATATTTACCCTACTTTGTTTGACACTAACGTAAAAGTTGAAGGGATTAGATCAATTAATTATAAAGTGTCGATAACCTACTATTTGTAGAGATTGGAAGGGATAAGTTTTCCCTCATGAATTCTTCTTCTACCTTCAACTTTGAAAGTCGAGCTCCATTTTCGCTTCAGCATTCTTTAAATCTAGTGAGTTATCTAATCCTACACACCATCCTACACACCATATGTAGCCTAATTAATGCATTGAATTTGTATGCATCATCAGTTGGTGGAGAAACACTTACATAAAACGGGGATAATAATGTTTTGCTATCCCTAACCAGTCACGATATATCACACGTGATAACTTTTCCACGTAGCATTATATAATTGACAGAAAATAGCTAAACAATATTATTCCCGTTTCAAACAAATGTAGAGTACCGGAGAATTCTGCTATTGATTGAGGAGCTTCGAATTTCTCAACAACTAATGAATGTATTGGTTTGTATGCATCGTCATCTCCCAAGGATTGAAAATAAATGGGCCTGTCAATATGAAAATAAGTTGGAGCATTCAGTAGTATTATCTATTCCAATTATATTTTGTCGAGAACATTTAATTAACTGACATAGATTGTTCCATTGTTGTGGTGGCCATAGGCCTATAGGTTCAATGGAGCATGAAAAGAAAAGGGTCGGCCTTGATACGGTGAAATTGATGCAACCGCACCGGGACTCCATTTTTTGGCGCACCCAAATATTTTTTGCAGATGTATATATTATGTATATATTATATGTATATGTGCTCCACAACACACTGGAGTTGGTTTGTCTTGCTCTGACTCTCACTAGAAGTACATGGTCAATTCCCACTTATGTGCTCAAATAGTTTTCTTTTTACATATTTTTTGAAAATAATAAAAATTTCTCTACAAAATGACCTTGAATTTAAATTAGACAAAAATTGTTAGGATAGAAAATCTACAGCTGTCAATGTGTGAGTCTCACATAAAAATTTAAATGAGTTGGCAGCAACAGATGACTAGTCAACACATTGACTTGACATATCCTAATATATGCAATGCAAGATTTTACCTTTGAGCTGATTTGCATTTAGCCACACTTACCTTTGAGCTGATTGACATATCCTAATAATATCACTAAATCTACTTATATTATAATACGTGGACAAGTTATATAACGTAACTGTACTCTAGTACTAGTATATAATTACTTATCCCTAGCATCATTCAAAAATATCTCTTGCCTTCTTTTCGTCACGAAAATCTAAACCAATGATTTTAACATTCAAGAAAGGCTTATTTACTCTAGTGCCTCCTGAAACTTCGGTCAAATCTCACTTTACCACCATAAAGTTAAAGTGGCCCACTTAACGCCCTTAACAATGATTTCGTGTTCCACTTTACCCCCCATTGTTATCTCCATTAATAACTCTGTCAATTTTGATGACGTGACATGGCTATTTTAGTCTTTTTATCACAAATGATGATGTGTCATGTGAATGTCCCACTCTTTTTGTTTAAATTGAATTAAATATAAAATAAAATAATGTAATTACTTGTTTAATTAAAAAATTATTTTTTTAAAAAAGGAAAAATTAATAAATAAAAATCTTTCTTCTATATGCTTTTAAAATAAAATAATTTTTTGTTAAAAAAAAACCTACCTAGATCCAACTCTCCCCAAAGATTAATCCTATCCCCAAAAAATGGCCTCATCCTTCCTCCTTTCTCCTCTCTCTCCAACCAACCACCGCACCATCATCCATAACCACCCACACCCCCACCAGCCATACAATTCGGTAGGCTACAAATTGAAAAGAGCTAAAGTCAACACTGTTATTAGTTCGGGGAACTCTAATTTTCCTCCGGTTAGTGCTGTAATCACAAGCGGCACTGCTACAGTCGTCGTTCCTGGTGGCTCTATCGAGAACATGCCAAAATTGAACTAGAAAGTTGCTTTGACAAATTTGTCAGCCCTCTTCTTGTTAGCTCCTAGCTCCTCTATCCTGAAAAGGATGAGTAATATACAACCTCTTCTCAGCATCGGTTTTCATCAATGTATGAATTGAGTATGAGCTTCCCCTGTGTACTAATTCTGAATGCCAAGAACTAGTTCAAAAGAAGTGTGAAGTCTTACAATTTCAGCTGTAACCTCAAATTGTTAAATCCAAAGCTTCCATTTCTTTTTTTCATGTTCTCTTGGCCATTAAGTGAGGGAGTATTCTGTTTATTGTTAGTTGGCTTGTTATGGCATCAAATCTTAAGTAATCTGGACCACACATTCTCATTCTGTTCAAAACGAAATACCAGAAGTATAAAACAAGAGAAATTCTCATTTTGATCCCCCTTTCGTGGGTCCATAAACCCTTCCTTACGTCCATTTCGCCGACTACCATATGCCCACATTTTAAACTATTACATAATCTTCTACCAGTTCATCCATCAACCGTATCCATACAACATGTATATAGACAAATTGTCGAAAATATTAGGCTAGCCATTACAATTACCCAATCAAAACTCTGCTATAAACTAAAAAAATGGCTGCTTAACATCACAACATCCCATCTCCGCCGCCCCCGGCGACATCGTTTAACGGCAGTGCTGGGTTCATACCCACAAGCTGCCGCAAGATGATGATGCACATGACCATCTTCTGGGGCCACATCGCTGAGGTTCTCTTCTCGGGTTGGCTTGGCCGCGACGACCAGGTCATGTACGGTGGTTGTGGGTGGGTATGATTGGTGGTGAGTTTGGGTGGTTATGGATGCTGGTGCGGTGGTTGGTTGCAGAGAGATGATGGTGCGATGGTGCGTTGGTTGATCTTTGGGGATAGGGATTGATCTTTGGGAATAAGGATTGATTTTGGGGAGAGTTAGGATTTTATTTTATTTTTAAAGCATACAGAAGGAAAAAAATTTATTTATTAAATTTTCCATTTTATTTTTATATATATTTACTTAAACAAGTAATTATATTATTTTATTTTATACTCAATTCAATTTAAACAAAAAAAGTTGGCCATTTACATGACACATTATCACTTATAGTAAAAAGACTAAAATAGCCATGCCACATCATCAAAACTGACAGAGTTATTAATGGAGATAACTGTGTGGGTAAAATAGAACACGAAATCACAATCAAGGGGGTTAACTAGCCCATTTTAACTTTGGGGTGGTAAAGTCAAATCAGGCCTAAACATGCTTGAATTGCATGAATTATGCTCTCTTACTCTATTGGCCTACAAAACACACAAATAGAGGCAAATAACTCATAATTATAGGAAACTAAGCAAAAGAAGTAAGTAAATTGGGCATGTATATGTATGAAATTATGAGCTTAACAGTAATAAATTCAGGCATATGTGTAATAGTTATTTTTGTTGATAAACTAGAATATTATTTATTTGACTCCCATAATAGAAAATGTTATTACAGAATATTACAATGCAAAAGAATTCAACAGAAATAAATGTTTAAAAAGAGATGCAAAAGAACTCTACTGGGAAGACATAGACCCTCTGAACCTTAGTTCTCTCTCTATTTTTCTTTTGAAAAATTCCAAAGAGGAAAAGAGAAGTCACTGTTACTCAGCAGGGCTTCGTCTGCAGAATTTATACCAGTTCCTGTGTTTTGGGCTATATTTTCAACCCAAAAGTTTGTGAAGAAATCTTCCTCCAACTGAAAACCAGAACACATTTCTCTTTCAACACTGTTCGTATCAGCTAACTGGCTTTTCCACTCATCAATTCCATTTTCTATAGGTGGTGATGATGGCAATGGCCAGTTAAAATTCTCTTGTAATTGAATATGCTGTAAAGTTGGAGCTGGGCTGCTCAAACAATTTGACTTTTTGGAGAAGGTTCGTGGTTGAGGCCTTAATATTACTGTCTTTGTTGTTTCTAGGGTTTTATCTTTTTCGGACCCAGAAGACATATTTTTCCTTAGTCGAGTACTCCAGTAGTTTTTCACATGGTTTGATGTTCTTCCAGGAAGTCTTCCAGCAATCAACGACCACCTAAATGATGTGCATGCATAAAGAAAAAGGATGTGTTAGAAATTATATTATTTAGACATTTTTTAAAAATACAGCTTATTAGAACACGTGAATTGGAAAGAACAAAAAGTCATAAAAGGAAAGGGATTATATTGCAATGTTTTGTTTGTTCATGTCTAAGGGCTCGTTTGGGACTGCTTCTTTAGGAAGTACTTCTGCTCATAAGCACTTTTATTATAAAGAGGTTGAAATTTTCATAAGAAATCCAAGTGTTTTCGGAAGAAGCACATAACAGGTGCTTCTCCAGAAAGTGCTTCTATGACCTAAAAGCACTTCTAAACTTCTCTGCCAAACTCTGTTAGAAGTGTTTTTTTTATAACAAAGCACAGTCAAATAAAAAACTGCATATGCTGGTTATATATTGAATGGTTCAAAGATTTGATACTATTAATTAATAAGAACTTGAAAATTTGTTACATCATATCTAGAAACGTAGAAATTCAATTTTTGAAATTTCCCAAATAAGAGTTGTGTGCGATCCTATTGAAGGGCTTACCGTAGTTAAAAAGGGATCATTTTTGCTCACCATATTAACCAAAGGTGTATGTTCACCACCATTCTTAAAGGATGACATTTGTCCTATTGTTAACCTTAGTTAACTTTTATGTGAGAATTAAAACAAATATTTAAAAAGGGCCCACAACCCACCATTCAATATTAAATCTTATTTTTAGTGAAGCTAGCCAAAAACAATTGCGTGAAAATTGTAGAAAATAATAAGAAAAAAAATGTGGAAGTTTTGAAGGCCCTGTTTTAGGGATGGCAAAAATCCCCGCGGGGGCGGGTCCCCATCGGGTAACGGGGGGAGATTTCGGGGCCAAACGGGTATCGGGTACGGGGATCTCCGAACTTGAAAAATCCCCGATGGGTATGGGGAGGGGATGGTATTGGCATCCCCATCCCCGAACCCGACCCGAAAATATATATATGTTTATATTTAAATAAATAAATATATAATTATAATATTTATGTTTAACCCTACACCTCCCTCTCCTAATTCTTCCTAATCTTCTCTAGATTTTCATATTGATGTGATTTTGAATAGTTGAGTTGAACTTTATAGTTAATTTGAATGTGTTGAATGATAATTTAATATGAAACTTAATGTTAAAATGTATGATAAATATTTTTTTTGCAAAAAGAATCGGGGATTC